TTATAAGGGTGTTGCAAACCAATAGCAAACGTGCAGAGGGCTTAAGCAGTCATTTTTGTCGGTTGCGGTTTGTTCGGGTTGCCGGAATAAAACTCATTCAAAAGCCGAAATCCTAGCGGGATAGAAATATATTGAGCTTGTGTTGAGTGATAATCGTTCTCACCTAAGTAGTCCTTTTCGATGGAAGGCAAATTTCAGAATTTTATTAAAGTCTCGTGAGCGAATCCAAATCCGTTTTTTTGGTTCACATGGCTGTTTTCCTCATTGAAGTCTTTTTGTACACTGTAAGGCTCCATATGACAACGCCGAAGGACCATTAAGGACGTTCCAATATCATCCTTATATGGAACTTCCTGAAAGACCTGATAGCATTAATTACCAGAAGACCCCACAGATTCAATGCTTATTTTTAGATTTTCGATGAGTGCTGGTGTTTAAGGCAATGTTTGGTGAATTTCCAGGCGGGAAGTTCTTCACAAATATCCTTTTTCCGCGCGACCAATTCTCTTCATGTGGCGGTTACCCTTCTGCCCATTCGGCCAGTTCGAAAACGTGGCGCAACTCTTCCTTGGTGCAAATTCGGAGCCGCTGCTCAGCATTTAACTCTACTATTCATGGTCCACGTAGGGAATCACCCGTTTTTACGGCAACAGTACTGAATAAATGTGACCGGACCAGTTTGACAGAGTCCGTGTTTGATGGCCTTCAGTTTGCGCTCGTTTTATTATAGATTTTAACGAAGTATTTTTCTTTTCGAACAATCAATCGCATTCCAAACGAAACTGCCTGATACTGTCTTTTGCAGAGAGGGCTCTTTACTCCTAGAAGTAAATATGTAAGTTCTTGGGCATCATCGATGGGTTGTCCGGTCACTGCTCTACATGTTTTTACAGCCTATATTTTATTCCGTCTGGTCTGTTCTTTATGGGTATGAATCCTTGGCATTGGCCATTGGAGGCATTTGGCCATCACTGCTGTCTGAGGACAGTTTTACAAGTGAAGCACACCGACTTCGTCTCAAATTAGACAGTCCACACTCGCAAGCCCTTTTAAGAAAGAAGAATGATGTAGCCTGAGCACGTTCTCCGTAGTCCTCGTTACCAGCCCATTTATACTTCTCTCGATCTGGTGCCGTTGCCCATCTAGTGG